TTTGGTTGCAACCATTATTGTTATTTGGCAGGCCCGGGCTGGATTTGAACCTGCCACCTTAGGTGTATGTGGCTGGCGCCTTAGCCGCTTGAGCCACAGGCGCCGAGCCAATGCTTCTCTTTTCAAAGTAATGATTAAAAGTTTGAGATATCACAGAGCATTAGGAGCTACATAAGATGTTTGAGACAGAGAAAGGAGATACAGTAATATCTCTTAAGTTTTGCATGCAAATGTCTTTAATAAGAATGTTCTCTTTAGTAAGGAGATACAGTAATATCTCTAAGTTTTCCATGCAAATGTCTTTAATAAGAATGTTCTCTTTAGTAAGCTGCTACAATGTTGCGAACATGTAGTGGCTGGATGAGTAAGTTCCAAGATTTCAGTGCTTTTTATGCCTATAAAATAATAACTATCTTTGTTTTTAAAAGAAGATTCAGAGCTGGGCACCATGGCTCACACTTATCCTTCCAGCGACTGGGAAGGATAAGGCTGGAGGATCTCTTTTTTTTTTTTTGAGACAGAGCCTCAAGCTATCCCCCTGGGTGGAGTGCCATGGCATCACAGCTCACAGCAACCTCCAACTCCTGGGCTCAAGCAAGTCTCCTGCCTCCGCCTCCCAAGTAGCTGGGATCACAGGTGCCCACCACAAGGCCCGGCTATTTTTTGGTTGCAGCCGTCATTGTTGTATTTGGCAGGCAGGCTGGATTCGAACTTGCCACCTTAGGTGTATGTGGCTGGCGCCTTAGCCACTTGAGCCACAGGCGCTGAGCCTGAAGGATCTCTTAAGGTCTGAAGTTCCACACCGGCCTGGGCAACTTAGCAAGTACCAGTGTCTGAAATAAAAAAGAGAAGAGGAAGAAGGAGAAAAAAGAAGAATGAAGGAAGAAGAAAAGAAATTTTCAAAATTAGTTTGTTAAGGATGCCCAAATTGTTGATTTTTTTCCTCAAACATCATCTACAAAAATATTTACCTAATTGAATTGCTTGTCACTTACATAAATGTGAGTGTCAAAACTCAGTCTGTACATCTAGGTTAGCATTGTGACAACAGTCTTGGTTTGCTTGGTAGGCAAAAATGCTTGACTCCAATCTAAAAACTAGGTTTCTCCAAAAACTAGCTACTCACTGGGCATCCTATAATAAATTTAGTATCTTTCACAGTGTCTTCTAATGAGATGTGATCAGAGTGATTCAGATACTATGTGATTCTCAAAAGCACCCAGACTGTGTTTCTAAAGTTTTCTAAGGCAGCTTTGTTGTGTTTCCCATTCATATTTTTTATTCCATCCTTGGTTTTTCTATTTTTTAATCACTGCTAGTAAGATACTGGTTGTTTTGTTTTATAATGTTTTCCTGTTTAATTTATTTTGATCAACACTCTGCTTTTCAATTCTGTAAAAGTTTAATTGAGTTGCATGTCTGTTAAGTAGAAGTAACACACTAACTCCTTTGCAAGATGGAATTGCCTTGCTCATCAGGTTCAACTTTTTTTTTTTTTTTTTTTTTGAGACAGAGTCTCAAGCTGTCCCCCTGGGTAGAGTGCTGTGGCATCACAGCTCATAGCAACCTCCAACTCCTGGGCTCAAGTGAGTCTCCTGCCTCAGCTTCCCGAGTAGTTGGGACCACAGGCGCCTGCCACGCCCGGCTATTTTTTGGTTGCAGCCATCATTGTTGTTTGGTGGGTCTCGGCTGGATTCGAACCTGCCACCTTAGGTGTATGTGGCTGGCGCCTTAGCCACTTGAGCCACAGGTGCCGAGCCTTCTTCTCTTTTTTTTTTTTTTTTGAGACAGAGTCTCATTCTGTCACCTTTGGTAGAGTGCTGTGGCATTATAGGTCACAGCAACCTCCAACTCTTGGGCTCAAGCAATTCTCTTGCCACAACCTCCCAAGTAGCTGGGACCACAGGTGCCTGTCACAATGCCCAGCTATTTTTTTTGTTTGTTTGTTTGTTTAGCAAGCCTGGGCTGGGTTTGAACCCACCAGCCCTGGTGCATGTGACTGGCTCCCTAACCACTGAGCTACAGGTGCTGCCAATTGTTATCATTTGCCTTGAAGTATTAAAATTCTTCCTTAGAGTAGACTGAACTGAAACACACTGAGGACATTCTGCAAAGAGGGTAGACTTCGTGGAGGGAAAGGCTGTGGAGCACCTGTCAGGGGCTCTGAGTCTTCTCCCCCTCTGCCCTTCACTACCCTTGTGACCTTTGGCAATGAAAATAATCTCTCTGAGATGGGGTCAGGACCCCAGCCACTGCTGAGCCCAATAAAGTATGATGATCAAAATAAATAATTAACGGGCTTGGCACCCATAGCACAGTGGTTATGGTATTAGCCACATACACCAAACCTGGTGGGTTCAAACCCAGCCTGGGCCAGCTAAACAATGACAACTGCAAAAAAAAAAAAATAGCCGGGCACTGTGGCGGGAGCCTGTAGTCCCAGCCACTTGGGAGGCTGAGGCAAGAGAATCGCTTAAGCCCAAGAGTTTGAGGTTGCTGTGATGCCAAGGCACTGTACTGAGGGCAACATAGTGAGACTCTGTCTCAAAAAAAAAAAAAATTAATTAAGGAGGCTGGGTGTGGTGGCTCATGCCTGTAGATCCCAGCACCCCAGGAGGCTGAGACCAGAGGATCCCTTGAGCTCAGGAGTTTAAGACCAGCTAGAGCAACAGTGAGGCCCCTCTCTCTACTAAAAATAAAAAAAACTAGCTGGGCATTGTGGACAGCACCAGTAGTCCCAGCTGTGGCCCAGAGTTTAAAGTTGCTGTGAGCTATGATAATGTCATGGCATTCTACCCACAGGAACAGAGTGAGACTCTGTCTCAAAAAACAATCAAAATTGTCCAAGTGGCTATATAAATTGGTTAAGTTTGAGGACCACTGGCTCCATACTGAAGCCTAAGAGAATGTGCTTTTGGGTTAGGGTAAATCAGTAGAAGGCGGCTTTCCAGATGGCATTATTATTATTGAGATAGAATTCATATACCACAAAAATCACCCTATTAAAGTGTATGGTTCAGTAGCTTTTAGCATAATCACAAGATTGTGCCATCATTGCGCCTATATAATTGGGAAGATTTTCTTTCCTCTCCT